TGCCTTTAAATTCGGCCGAATGGGGCATGAATCTTGCTGAATGAGAAATGCAGGTCTCTGTAGTGAAATAGATTAAGTGCTGCTACGCTCCCCATTTTGTTTCAGGGCTTCGGTTGCAATTGCCGGCTCTAATTTGAGGTGGGAAGACTCGCTGTAGGGTAATTAAGCACGCGAGGAGCTCAGGAGAGCTGCCTGCCAGCACCTGGCAGTGGGATTCCCCTTCCAGAGGCACCTGCACTAAATGGTAATTCCTCCCCTCCATTTCCCACTTCACTCCCCGATGCTTCTCCCGGCAGCTCGGAGGAACAGATGGAGCAATCACCCTCCTCCTCTCCCCAGCACGGACCCCTGCTGCTACCCAGCGCCTCGTGCAGTTGTAATACACATAATTAGGCAAATCAATGGACAATGCAGCATATTAGGGGAGGAGGAGTTACATCAAGGCAGAACACGAATCCCAATTTATTTACTGCAGGAAATAGGACATTTCTGCATAATTGCCAAAAATTGCAGACATGAGATGAAATGTAATCGCAGCCCTGGGAGGTAGGGTGCTGCCATCGGGTCACTACCTGGATTATATGGAGTGCAGCTGAGGGGAGTTTGGTCTCTTCTGGATATACAGTTGATTTATCCTTTTAACATCTCATTACCATTTATGAGTTACGCTCCCGAATCTCTCACACATCCATAATTAGAGGGAACGATGTTTACAGTCATTCACCCCACCACTGACTCCAGACCCAAAGCACGACTGAAGGTTGCAAAATCCTCACTGCAAGCAGCAGCCAGTCCTGCCCTCCACGGAGAGCCAAGGCCTGCATGGCTGGGCTCAAGCACACACAGCTGCTGGCTCCTGACAAAAGTGGCTGCTGAACTTTCTCCTCCCGTCGCTCCCCAGGCACAGTTTTGTTTAAGGTCAGTGCTGGCTCTGTGCTCCCTGCTCAGCAGCTTCTCTCCTCTGTGTCTTCTTCATCCCTTGCAGCTCCCACCCCATGGAAAGCAGGGCAGGGTGAGGTCTCGCCGTAATCTGAGTGGCAGAATAAAAAAATATTATATAAACATAAAATAATATAAAATATTTTGACATGAAGAGCAGGTGTGCTGCAGACAAGCACCCTGTGAACAGGTGAGGTGATGAGGGGAGAGGTGAACAGAAAGGGGGCCTTGTGGAACAGGGCAACACACCAGAAGGGGGGTCCTGCATGGAAAAGAGGGGTACAAGCCAAATCAGTGATAGGAATGAGAGAGTTATTAATTCCTGGGCTCTTCAAGGAAGGTGACCTTCCTGCCAAGAGGAAACGCCAGGGATCTCTTTCCAGTGCTAGAACCAGTCCCACATACACACAGTGGGTTTAATCTTGGTTTATGGGCTTGAAGCAAGGCTATGCCCCAGGATTGCCTGGGAACACAACCTTTCCCAGACAACCACCAGAGTCTTGTTAAAGTGGTGCTGAGGCCTCACAGACCCCCGCGGGCAGAGGGCTCAGAGGTTTTATGGAGGTATCGATACACAGTGGAACAGAGGCTGAGCCTTGAGACACATCCTTTTGTTATATTTCTTAAGAGATTTCTGGGACCTAATTTTGGCCAGGTTTGTCAGGTTTTCAGGGGTTTAGAGAAGCAGTGACTCCAGCTGGTGTGGGTGAGCACCACAGCTCCCAAGACACCAACAGCCTTGAGTCAGGCACTCGGACACTGATACACAGAGGGGCATTAGAGAATACATCAGAAATGGTAGATTTTAGCCTCTTATACTCTTGCTCAGCACAAGTCAGTAGCAGATATGGAAGTCTCCACTGTCAGATTTGAGTTTTAATCCTTTTTAATGTATTATTGTATCCCCTTTCCAAAGTCTGAACCTTCCTGAGTTAGGCTGGGTACCTCTGTGAAAGCAGGGAAAATGATTTCCAGAGTCACTCAGAACATCAACAGCAAAGAGATGGACTGGCCACCAAGCTCCTGGGGTCATTGGTGAGTAACATTACCACCTGCTGACCTTGCTGGTTTCTAAACCTGAACTTTTTGCCCTTTTCCATGCTAATCACTATAAAGGAAGCTTCTCCCACAGAAATCACCTGCTGTTGGGAGCTTTCCTCCTTCACAGAGCTCTGCCAACATCTTAGTCCTTACCTAAGGGACACAGCTCTTGTTTTTGTCCCCAAGCATCCTCCAAAATGCCACCAACTGTGCTCATTGTCTTGTGGCTTGTGAATATGAGAAAACAGTTAATGAAATGCAAACCAACATTACCAAGAGCATTTTGGATCCAATCTCAGTCAGGTCTCCAAATGCAGCATTTGTCGCAGCGGGACTGTTACTTCTCCAAAACCTAAGAATATAAAACATGGCATGATTTATGGGTACCACAATACTACAAACTCAAATGTGTTGTGTCAATGCAAAATCATGGCTCACACATGCCCACATAACCACAGGCTGCAGCCCACTTACCACCAAAAAGGGGAGGGACAGATCCACAACAGGCTCAGAAAACACTCCAGTGACTCAGACAACTGACATGACACCATTTGTTTGTCTGCTATAGAGGTATAAATACCATCCACTCCTGAAATATTTAAGAAAAGTCTGCAAGTTCACACTGGATATTTCCCTGGGTGCTCACCCTGCTCCCTGCAGACGTGGGGGGACATCATTCTCTCCCTGTGCCAACACCCAAGTGCCACCACAGCAACTCCACATTCATTTTCTTCTCCCTCCTTATCTTCTCCCGGCTTTGGAGTGCATTCTTCCTTATCTTGGAGACAAATGGCCTCCACGGAGAGCTCTAAACAGCAGAGCAATTTATCTGTTTGACATGTGTTTCCCTGTTTGTTTTCTCCAGCCTTGAGCCATCGGCTTGGGCTGTGACAACACTCAGCTGTGGCAGTGGCAGAGGGTTGCCCAGCCCCTTCACTCAGTGCTGTGAACCAATTCCTTTGCCATATTTATCATTTATTGCAGTAAATCAAGTCTAATCGATGCTTTCTTCTTTAGATGTAGAGCAAAGCCTTTACAGGCTTTTCAGAAAACTGTTTGGAATTAAGGAAAGCTGGGGGGGGAGGAGGAATAATTTAATCACAGAGTAGTTAGGGTTGTTAGTCAATTCAGCACTGATTTTTAATTTGGGGAAAGAAGATGGCAATGTCCTGTGAGTCACACTGTCACCATCAAGAAAAAGGAGAAGAGCAAAACCCCCTTCTGTTTATCTCCTGATTGTTTCCAGTATTTCACTTGTTGCTTTGAACACCTTATTCTTAAAGCTCCATGTGAACAAGCACCTCCCTCACATGATGCATCTCCATCCTTTTCCAGCCAATTCCTGGATGCAAGAGCCTCCCTCCCTCCCCACACACTTCATGTTGCCCCCTCAGTGCAGCCAAAGCCTGAGAACATCGGATTTGTCTCCGTTTCCATTTACCAGGGCTCAGGGCAGCCCAGGGCAGCAGGATTGGCACTTGTGCCACCAAGAGCACACACAGTTCCCTCTCCTGCTCTCCTTGGCAGGAGCAGCACTCCAGGATGGCGAACAGACCCCTGCCAGGGCCTCAGGCAGGAATTCAGGCTGCTGCCAATCATTTCCCAGCTTTCCCTAAGGACAGCTCAGCTCTGTGAGGACGTGGGGTTGGGACCTTGCCTTTGCTTGGCTCTGGATAAGAAGGGAGGTCGGTGCTGTCCCAGACAGGTCCATGGACAAGTGTCAGGATGTTACCTGGAGCCATCTCCCCACAGACACCTTCACTGGCCCCAGGGGAGCTCTGCCACACACAGAACAGTCTAGCTGCCCTAATCACTGATATAAGATTCACTGATTAACAACAATAAACAAATTATATTGCCAACCCAACTCTGTTTAATCTCTCCCCCAGAGCACTCCAGACACCTCAGACAAGCTCCTTTCCCCTCCTCCAGCAAAATGCCCCAGCATTCCTCCCTCAGGCTTAGCTCATATTCAAACATATTTCCAGGACAGACACTGCAGTTCTGTTCCTTTTGGGAAGATTATGATGATGAGCAACAAATGCCTTAAAATCAAGTACTGGCTGTGCTACCAATCAGCCTGGGTGCACAGGGTGGGGAAGGGCACTAGAGACAGGGAGAATTTTAAAGCCAACCAAACAGACTATACATGTATTGGGTTCCTCAGACAGCAGCTGATTTTCAGCCTGGAAGATTTGCAAAACAATTCCTATGGATTCATCCAAATAGCTCCTCTCCAGAAATCTGACTCCTTACCAGAATTCCCTGGCTTCTTTCAGAACCCAGAGGAGCTTATGGGATTGAGGGGTAAGGGGCAGTGGTGGGATTTGGGTTTTTTTTTGTTTTCCCAAGTGTTGGTGGTTCACAGATTCAGTACGCCTTAATTCTGGCTAAACAACATTAGAGCTCCACTTCTCTTTTAAAAGTGTCTCTGTGCATTCTTTTTGGAGAAGCAGGGCTTCTTTTTCATACAGGTGCTGCTCATCCAAAGCACTCCAGTTGTGGTGGATAATGCAGCCACATGTGAAAAAACTCAATACGGAAAAATTTCCCACCTCATCACTATAGAGGTCACATAAAATTGCCATCAATCAACATACAACAATCAAATTCCATTCTCATGACCAGAAAACAGTTTTGCAAAAAGGCACAGAGTTTCTCCAGCCCCTGTTCAGCTGCAGGAAGTTCCAGAATTCACACCTGTAATTTGGGGAAAGCAGGAGGACCTTTGCTTTTTTTTTTTCCTGAAGTGCATTTTTCCCCTCTCAGACAGCGGCAGCTCCAGCACAGATTTTATTGCTGGCATTTAGAAGAGTAAATGCTCCCTGACACACAGGATGGGAAAGGTTTCTCCCCCAGGGAACAGAACACAGAGACTGATTAAGCGACCAGCAGGTATTTAAGAACATAAAAAATAGTGGCAGATCAGGGCTGCAGCTCTCACTGAACAGGAGCCAGCACAGGAACAGAGCTCACCTGCTGATTTCCAGCAGGGAATAGCACTGGTGAAGAGCAAATCCTTAAGCTTGGGATCTTTACACACTTTTTAATAGCAAGAAGGTTGAATAGTAATCACAACTTGCTCCTTCAGAGGTGTGAATCAGGGGGCTCCTGGTGGGTTTGTGCTCCTGCTGAATCCAAACCTGGTGGTCCATGTTCCATCCTCCTTCCTTCCCAAATCCTTCTGTAGAGATTAAATAGCAGCTGATAATTTGCAGTAGCCATCTGATTTCAACAACAGAAACTAGTTAACGAAATATATCAAGTGACTGAATTGTTTTAATATTATAAGGACAAAAAGGAGCAGGTAAGTTGGCCAAAGCTACGTGCCAGACCAGCAAAGTCAGGACCAGAGAGCCCAGGTTTGCTCTCAGTCCTGTGCTCATGACCCACGTGCCACATTGTTCCTTCATTTTGGTTAACATTACTGGAATGGTAGTAGGGCCATATGCAGGAATAAGAAATAATTGGGATTTCTGTTCTTTAAAGAGCAAAAGAAATGTCCACAGGAGTGCCCAACATTTCAAAAACAACAAAAAAGAATAAATAGATGACAAAACTGCTAAAATAACTTCTGTAAGAACTGCAGAAATATAACCTTCTATCCCTTGGACACATAAGATGACCATTTTTTCTTGTACTGATGACAAAGACATAGCCTTTATTTTGTACAAAAATTTAGAAAATATATATTTAAAAATAATTTGCAATCAACTATTTAGACTTTTAAACTTGTAACCACTATTTTTGAAGTGGTTAGCTATAAAGCATTTTAAAATTAAGAAATAGTAGTTCAATGTCAAAAAAGTTTATAGAAACATGATATTTTTTCAAGTAAATCCCAACAGCTAAAGATAACTAAAATCATGCTACAACTCATTTCAGTTGTATTTCACTAGGACATCACTGAATAAGCTTTATGACGACTGCTTCTAGAAGTTTATTGAAATTATACATTGCCACATCAAAACTCAGACTGTTTAATCAGAGGAGAAAAATAAAAATTAACTGTGAAGGTGTCTAACACACAGTCATACAAATTCTTTTCAAAGCAGTCTTGTCCTCCAACAAAAAAACAAAAACGTGTTTCTGCAGCTCAGGACAGCCTTGGGACATCTCATCACAGTGATGAGCTGTGTGCCCGTGGGTCACACTGTGTTCCTACAGGGTCCTTTAGTCTTCATCTTCATTTGTGCTGCAGAGAAAAAGCAACGGGTTTGGCTTTGAAGACACCTCCAAGAAACTTCCCTTCCCAGCAGCATCTTCTGAAAATCTGTCAGGTTTGGGTACAGGGTTTTCTGCTTGTTCCTGTGAAACGCAGCTCACAGTAGCCAATCCTTCAGGCTGCTCTGAAAGCCTCATTGCAGAGTGCATTTGCATTTCCAATTCCTCTATCAATTTCCTGGGAAGAGACACAGATTGCAAAGAAGCCTCTGCTGTTCCATCACTAACCCCCAGCGCCGAGGTGTTTGTGCCCTGCCTCAGTCCATTACAGTCAATAAGTGGAGCTGTCCTCTCCTCCTCAAGTGTGCCTTGGAAGGAATTTATTTCCCCATCTTCACTGGTCGAGGACTCTTGCTCATCTGAATCAGAGCCTTCTGTCTCAGATGATGAAGTGCTGCTTGATTCTTCAGAGTCACTCGTCTCTGACTCCGAGGAAAGCAGCTGTTGCTTGGAAACTGTGCCAGCAGCTTTTAACGCGTTCTCTTCCTCCTGTACCAGCACTGCTGCTGCTTCCAGCTCCTCCAGTTCCAACCCCATGTGGGACTTGGTGAGCGTGGTTTTCTGCAAGGACTCAGAGAGTGCAGCCAACTTTTTTGACCTTTAACAAAAGAACAAGATGTATTACTGAACTTTACAAACAGAACTTTCCCGTTCGGTAACGAGAACACAAACCTTAAAACATTTCTACTATTTGCTTGCTGTGCAGAACAGCTTCTTCAGTCCTGATTGTAAAAGCAGATGCTACAGGAGGGGAAAATAATAAAAAGTACTCATAATTACGATTATTTGGGGTAACTTTGCCCACAAGGTTAGACAATATCCCACAGAAAGTCTTCGTGATACTTTCAGAAAAGATATGGCTGCTTTGGTGCTGCAGCAGTGCACAGTGAGGGAGAAGGCAGTTCAGAACAAACCTTTCCAGGACTGCTATCTTTGGCAGCACATGTGGCTGGCTGCATTAAGTTTATATGCAGGAAAATCATTTTGGTTTACTACCCTTGTAGATGTGTCTGTTAAATGTGTATGAACCAGCAGGACTTGCTGATCGGGGCCATCTCAGTGATCCATTCTCCTCTCCCAGCCAGCCTGGTGCACCCATTATCACAGGAAATGCTCAGTACTCTGTAGATGTGCTTTACCTTTCACTTGGAATTCAGCTGAAATATAATTCAATGGGAATAACAGGAGCATTTAGATCAATGCCTCTAATAAAGCAGACACACCACATGGGCTTCCAACCCTTGGTGCAGCCCCATCCATTCCCTCGAGTGTTTGGAAGTCAGCACGTGCTTTCCCAGAAAAGGGCATCGTGGATTTATAAACAGAGGCCAAAAAGCAAGAGAGTGCCTTGAAATGGAGGGTGGTGAGGGCAGAGGGGAAAATGGGTATAAAATAACAAACATACATCCTGTTTCTTGTTGTAGAGTTTTGCCTCAGACTATCAATCAGCTTTTCACCACTTCCTGCAGCAGCAGGTCTGCAATAAATCCTGCAGTAACTGACTGGGTTTCATTTCCTCTGCCAAAGCTGCAAACCTGCAAGGCACGACACACTGACACTGGAGCAAGGAGCTGGGGATGTAATACATGACTCCTGCGAGGCAAAAGTTAAAGTGCTTGTTCTCTCAGTTGAATGATTTTAAAGATCTTTATATTCTATTTCCCAGGGGGCATAATTACTCAGTAGAAGCTTCCATATTTTTTTTTCTCCTATAGGAATTGTATTTATAAGGGGGGAAGGAAAATTCGGTGCAGCTTCTTACACACTTTACAGACAGTGCAACATTTAAAAGCTGATCTTGGAACAGAACATAATAAACTTCCTTAGTTCAACCCACAGACTAAAAAAACTAAGTTTCCCAGAAGTGAAGCAACAGAAAACAATTTATATTTCTATGATTTTTAAATGTAAAGCTAAGAATTAAATATAACATCATCCTAGCAGTCTCTACTATAAAGTCAGGTACCAAATTTTAAAGATCTGCATACTTAACATTATTCTGATGTTTTCTTTTTGGCAATTTACATCCATTTTATTTTTGTCAAGATCTTGATTTTTTTTCTTGAAAAGTTGTGGAGGTTTTGAGAAATTGCCAACCTAACTGGGAACAAAGAAAGCATTCTCCCTGCTCCATCATTAAAAAAAAAGGAAAAGAAGCCAAGTGATACACTGAGAGGTTCATGGAGCCTTGCAGGTAGGTGGGAGCACAACAACTGGCTTGCAGGGAAATCTGCTTCCTGAGCACATTGGTGAGAAGCTGATTTATACCCCGAGTCACCAGAGTTTATATCCCTTTCAGAAAGCATTTGGCTTTGCTTTTGAAACAGTCTCCTTCCTCCCCTCCAGCTCTATGTCTGTGTGTGTGCACGTGTCCCCTTCCCCTGTGAGAGCTGTCAGTAACATGAAGGTACAGCCCCTCTTCCTGTGCTATTCCCTGACTGTCCACAGCAATAGGAGCTCCCAAAGCTGGATGTGCCCTGGGACAGAGAACACTGTTTTAAATGTGGCTCCCTTTAATTTCACTGACAGCCACGAACAACTAACTCACAACACACCCTCTGGCACAGTTTGCTCTGGTGACACACCTACAGCTCCCACTGCCTCAGTCTCACCCACCTGTTCCACTGCTGCCATTACAGAGTGAAAATCAAATTTCAAAGTCCTGTTTCTCCTCAGATTTCTATCATGTCTGTCAATTTGTTTCCCAATTCTGTATGTATTATTTGGCTTTTTCCTATTTCTGCTGTTCTGATTTTCTATGCATGTTTTTCCCTGCTTGATATTCTCAGTCCTTAAAATCCTCTCCTCCTCTTTCACTATTCTCTTATAATATAGTTTATAGATATAGAAACATATCCCATAACTGCATCAAGTATTAAGGAGGTGTATGACATCATGTGCTTTTTTGGCCTTAATAAATACTTTACTGGGTTCCAGATTACTTAATGCCAAATGTCAGGGAAAAAACCCCACAGTGATATATTCATTTGGCTCAACACACATGATGTTACTAAATTCAATGTGGTCCTACTGACAGATAAAAGAATGGTCTCTCTTAAGCAATAAGTTGCTTTTTTTAGCTCTTAGACACATCAGGTATCTGTCCCTGCTCATTGCAGGGGGGTCAGACTGCATGGCCTTTATAGGTCCCTTCCAATCCAAAGTATTCTGTGATTCTATGAAAAAGTCTCTTTTCAGTTCCTCAGATTTCTTAGTAGGCCAAATGTTTCTTCCCAACTTTCACTCTGGTCCTTGAGGTCTCTATCAGGAAAAAAATGGACAATCTGCAGAGCTCGACTTTTCAATATGAGAGACAAAGTCAAACTGTCACCTATTGACAAATTTATACATAAAAGCAGAAAATTCCACTCTCCAACTTCCCAATCTGCTATTAAATGGAAAAAAAAAAGAGCACGTAGAGAACAGGTTGAGGGGTTTTTTTCCTCCCCCTGTGCAAGGGACTAAGAGAATTAGAATTAGCTATCAGTTCATCTACTTTAAGGCAATTATCTAATTTGAAGGAGAACTGAGTTTCAGGAGTGCATTTCACATCAGCCTTAAGAAAAGATGGGGGCATTCCCTGGACAAAAAACAAGGCAAACAGCCTAAAAGTCAGAGCATGGAAATGCTTTCAATGGGAGACTGAAGTCCCTGAGCTAATGATTTCCCAAGCTGAAAGATAAGCAATATGAGATCTCATGTATTAGAGACTTGCAGTAAACAGGTCCTGCTGTTTCCAAAATCTTTCGAGTAGTGTTTGAGAGATTAGACAGCAAATACTTTAATTTTTCAAGTATGATTAATGGAATCCATGATTACTTTAAGACATGCTCATTCAGTATGCACATTTGTGGTAATGATATCTTATTATTATGGTAATAGTGTTCTTACATAAACATGCATAATAGGTTTTAAAGGTGCTACACATGATAATTATTAGTTATCACGATGTCAGTTGCTTAAGGAAAATGTTTAATTACAGGTTAAACTGATCAGATGCATGTTTTGTTTAATGTATAGCTTTGAGGAACAGATAACAGAGGCATCTCGGGGCTTGTCCGTGTAGTCTGGAATTAAAATTCCAAGACAGAACTACAGTAATCCTTGCCTAAGCACAAGAGAGTTTCTTCAGGTGCTAGAAGAAGAAAAAAAAATCTTGTTCTACAGATCTTAGATTATATAAGAGTGAAACTGGGCTGAAAAGAACAAAGAATGAAAGGAGATTTAGCAAATAAAGAGAGATGGAGAAAACAAGGAGGGGAAAAAAAGAGGATTATGGCAACAGGAAAGGGAAATCATTACAGGTTTCCAGCAAAGGCCTCCTGTGGCAGCATGAGGAGAGGTGATGGTGATGGGACCGACTGCAGGGCTGAGGGGTGGGAGGAGAGCAGGACACGTCTCCAGGTGAAGATGAACACTCCTGTGAGCTCCAGGTCTGCCTTCTGTTCCAAGGAGTACAGAAGGCAGTGGGATCTGAAGAATCAAGATAGCTGTTATCTCCAGAACAGAGAGCTATGAGAAACAGGTCTCATAGAAGACATACATTAGGGATTTGATTGTTTCCAAGGAAGATTTAACATAATGCTGGAAGGAAAAACAAAAGTCAGCCTAGGCACTCAGAGTAAAAATAAATGCAGGACTTGGGTGGGGGGATACATCCAGCCACGAAATCCTCTAATTTTTCCCGAATGCTAAAAAAAATAAGTAATTATGCTTCTGTATCTTATGTCCATCAGTCAGAAATCACAGTATGAAAGGAGAAGTTTTAAAAAAAGTGTTAATGGGCCAGACCTTTCCATCTGCCTGGTACTTGCCTTACATCCAATTCTCTTGTTTTAGCAGTTAAAAAACCCCCAAACAACTCAAAGAGAACTTGAATAAATGAAAACCAGCATTCTGTTCCTGATTCTGTATGATGATGGCACTGCACACCATCATGGCAAGGGAATTACACATCTAAAAATCTGTACTGAGTGTTTGCAAACATGGGAGCAAATGTTGTTGCCCAGAGAGGTTGTGGACTCCTCATCCCTGGAAGTGTTCAGGTTGAGGCTGGATGGGGCTCTGAGCAACCTGGTCTGGTGGAGGTGTCCCTGTCCATGGCAGGAGGGTGAACAAGATATCTTTAAGGTCCTTTCTAATCCAAACCATTCTGTGAGTTTATGAAATAGTCACATGGCAGCACAGCCTCCCAAAGCCGGAATAAGTCACATTTTGCTGTGGAATGAGAAGTGACTTTCCTTGCACAGGCACAAGCTGCAGCTTGCTTTTGTTTTTGTAAACAATAGAGGGATTATTTCTACTGCCTCATCAATTTGGCTTTGCATCTCACAGATGTATACAAACAACCACTGTGCCGAGTACACAGTGTAAACAAGGTGTAAGACACAGCAGAATGCAACAGAATTTCTTTGTTATCTGCCCTGGCTCAGTCACAGCCAAGTGACAGCACACGGAGCTGCCACAGCAGATGAAGCTGTTCCTGCCCGAGTAGAGCAGGAGCAGAACAAAGCCTGGGAACCTGAGTACCACAAGCACTGACAGCAGCTTTGCTTACCAGCCTGGTGTCTGAATGTGACCTAACTGGTCTTGGAACCA